GTTTAGAAAGTCCTGTGGCTATGGTCGTTGTGAAAGAAGCAGACAAGAAGGAAGACTATTCGTACAAATCAGACGAATCCTTTACACAGAAAGCTCAACTGGAGCAGGTCCAAAATTTTGTCGACAAGAATGACAACGACAGATCGAAGAACGATTTCGTTTATAGACAGTATTAACTAATGACCTACAGAAAGCAGGCCCATATGAATTGATCAGTGCTAACATTGTAGTAAAACGAAAGTACAGCGAAAGTAAAAAATACTGCAAGATCGAAGAAGAGTTCTTCAGAAACGGCCCAGTAGAAGCAAAATGAAACATAAGATGGGCTGGTTCAACAAGCAGAACGAAGGGGAACGAAAACCAATCAGCGAACGTGTGGAATGTTCAGTGATCGAAATCCCCAGTAGACAAATCCCTTGGTTACTTTGTACATGAAAACGAAGAATTCATTGAAAACAAAAGGAAAAGCCTTGAAAAGAGTAGTAGGAATTGCAATACGGACCAGAAGCTTGGATTGCGTTGAAGAGGCATGAGCATCGGCCAAACTTTGTAAAAGCATGAATGCTCAGATGAATGTCTGGTATCAGCAAAAGGGACAACAAACGCAGAATCTTTTAGTACTACCGGGGTAACGTCAGTAACGCAAAGTTGGTTGAAAATAGGCTTCAACGTTTTTATCACGTGAAAAGAATACCTGATGAGTTCATAAGCAGGTTAATCCATAATGGTTACCGTCACGGGAAAAATGAAGGCTAAAAATGGAGGCGCGATGAAAGAAAGACAGGATAAGGTGGAATGTGGAGTGATCTGACAAAGGATCTAAGAATGCAGAATAAATTATCCCGAACAGTGCATCACTGCTACAAAGGACATGTCAAGAAAAATAAGAAATTCAGTAATGCGACTTTCATGAATCTCAGTAAAGCTGCGCCGTCCCTTCTGGTTATTACTACTTCCATAGCAGAACCATCACAGGACCATAGCAGATCATTACAGCTACTGACCGAAACAGTGAATACATATTATGCATGGTTACTTCGCGAAGGCACAATATATAGTTTTGGATATTGTCGCATATCACATCATATCACATGGATCTCATATCATAACTAGAGATTCTTTCTTTGAAAACTGAGTACCACGATGAGTCAGAACGCTAGTCATCAGATGGATATGACCGGTTATGGGCCAGAAAGTGGTCAAGTTTGTCTCATATCAAAAGATATACTCGTGCTTCGTATTCGGACAGTAAATATCTTCATTCGCAAATCTGTAGGGTTCCCAAACTGCCATAAAAGCAAACATAAAAGTTTCCACGGCAAAACACATACCACACGACGGCGAAGTTCTGGTTCTGCTTTGCAGATCCAGTACCGAACTGATCTCTTTCGTCAGACTGGTTATGGCACTGGTAGCCGTAGGCACCGGGGTCGACGCTTTCGAAATCTAAACAAACAACTGTCAATGACAAAAATAAAAAATGATAAATGACAAAAACGATGATACTGCGGATAATAAAGTGGAAGATGATGGTTAGCACAAGTTTAACGGATAATAGGAAGATACTCACAAATTATGCTAATAGGCAAGAACGACATCAACTATGACATGAAAAAGTCTTGAGGTGTCCGAATAGTTTGGACATATGAAAAGGTTCAGCACCCTGATAAATGTATTTTAAAGATCTCACGTCGACTGAGTGTGAAAATTAAATTGGCTATAAAAGAGCTCACAGATTTCGAACATGGAAACGCTTCACACACTGATGCAATGAAAGCCGTGAGCAACACGGAAATTTAACTTTCATCTAGCCAACACTAAAGCCATTAACAAAACTCTCAAGCAGTTGATTTGAAACACTACAACCCTTCACAGCCTTTTGATTAGATTTCCTACTATGCAAGAAACATTCATGGCTAAAGCAACTCTGATAAATCAAAAAAACTGTCGGATTAGCTCCAAAACAAACTGAAAGGTGAGCTCAAATCGACTGCTGCTGATTGATACTCAGTCTCCGCACGTTTTCATAATTACTGTGAAAAAACGTTTCAACAACGGAATCAAGGAAAGAAGGATTATTGTCATAAGCTATGTCTATGTGCAAATTATGGACATGGCTGGCGAACTGAGGGATTCGTTCAGGTGGCTCTCTCAAACACATTCAGCAATCAGAATTGACTATCCGTGACATCAGAAGTGACCCAATGAAAGTTTTATTGTAAGAACTTAGAACCTCAAATGTAATCATGATATAACAATTGTCACAATAACGATACGCTAATATTCTGTTTACTCGTTCTGTAAGCAAGGGCCCCTAAGAACCGATTAGGACCCAAGTGCCAAAGGGGTAGAGTAAAACTTTCATTATGCGTATATCTAATGCAACTGTGAATGAATATTGAATCGCTTAGATACTGATAAAAGTTTACGATGCAGGAGAACAGGAAAATGAAAGTTTGCAGCCATTACGACTCTTCTTTTCCTTTTCCATGAAAGGTACTGCTTACAATATTTTCACCGATTTTCTGATATGACCATTTTCACAATCTATTTAGTCTGGTGAGTTTATCTTTTGAAGGATATGGTCATAACTAGATGGCTGTTACAGCGGACAATCGGCTAATTCCTTACTTTCTAACTGGAAATCGTTCAATAAGAGAAAGTAACTTATTAAACTCATGATATCAATTTTCCTACTACATCCTTAATTTAAATGACTTTCTTTGTGAGCACGTTACGAATGCAGGCTCACATTCTTCTAACCTTCTTTGTTGTCCGCCACAATCATTCGCAAAGTAATTTGATTATTTTATCGTACCAGCGTGTTTTGGGACGACTGAGTGGACGTTAATGGACACTCAGCTCATAATTCTTGATGTCTGTCCTTCAGGCGAACCTAATGACTGGACCATCTTCTCTTATCGTCATAGAATGCGTGATCTCGGAGACAGACCTTCACTCCTTTGTTACATGCATGACCATCAGGTTCACGTGATTGTGGAACTGATGGCAGAGCATTCTGCGCTGCAAATCATGAAGGATCTGGACGGTGGAATCGAACTGCTCATTTTCGCTTGCAAGAGTAGCTCATCGCAAAGAAACGCTAAATTAGGTTAAAGCTGCCGTAATCCGGCTACCTTCTATTCTTCCGCAGATTTCACGGCCTTGTTGAAAACTGTAGGATACGTATAAGTATACAGGAAGGTCAACGTGTAATATGCGTCTGATTCTAAGGCTACTTGTATGTGAGAAATAATTTTGCACGCAGAATAAACTTCGTAAAATTCCCGTGAAACTTCAGGTAAAACATTTTTCCACTTTTAATTCTTTGCATTTAGCTTTATAGCCGAATCTATACAGATAGTACCTCAATGGGAGGAGCCAAATCTTCCATGAC